TGATGTGGATTGTTCTTTCATCTATTACGAAAAGGCTGTATAAATTTGGAAATGCATGTGTGTACCATTCCAGCTGAATGTGAAACACATGGTTATTTGCCACTGAAATTTATGGAGGAGCAAAATCGATCTGAGTTGACAGCTATTGCTGCCCTTTCACAGTCTCAGGTATTTCATCACGATTGTAACTAAGGTAGTGGTCGTTTACAATATTGCTTTAGAAGGTTACACAGTTTGAAGGAACAGCCCTGTTGACATAGCTGTTATTTCTGCTTCTGGGTTGCTTCACTTCCTTCCCACTCGCCAACAGTCACAAGCGCCATCTCACAGCCAGACCTGGGTCAAGTCTTCTCATCTGTATGAACGAAACGCAGAGGAAAGCGCACCGAGTCGCTCATGATTTTGCAGAAGGGGTGGACAGAGGAGGGGCCCAGAGCAGCAGCTGGTGGTGGCAGCAGACAGGCCATGCACTTTTCTCCTGCAGGAATGACTGCCAGCTCACACGGCTCAGCCACTTCTTCGGTGGCAGCGGCGGTTTGTCTCTCCCAGGCTGTAGAGCCGGCCGGCAAGTGGCAAAGGCCATGGCTGTTTTGCAGCTGCCTCACTTCGCTTACGCGTGGAGTAAGTGCTCGTCGGCAGCGCTAAACCTGGGTGAGCTGCCGTGGTGTTGCGCGTGGGACAGAGGTAGCAGTCCCGTTACTTGTGCCAGAACACACCGTGTCCTCTACTCAGCTGTTGCACTCACTTCCTCGGCAACACAAATCGCTCGCAGGTCGAGGGAGGGGATTCTGCCCCTCTGTTCCGCTCTGCTGAGACCCCTCCTGCGTCCAGCTCTGGAGCCCCCAGCACAGGGAAGACACGGACCTGTAAACACAAGCTTCCAGAGAGTTCCCCGGTTCCCGCAGGAAAGGGTCCGTGGCTCGGAACGGGTGTTTCGCGTGGGAACTGCAGGAGGACGAACTCCAGCATCACCGAGCTGAACGCTCTGCTAACTCCGGCGACAACTCCACAGCCTCCCCTTTCGACTCGCACCGTGACCCTAAAGCTGCCCGGACC